CGCATGACAATTCGAAAGGGAAGCGCGTCGCTGTTTGTTATCAATGGAGCAAGTGGCACTGGCAAACAATTCCTGTACACCTCACGGATTCACATACTGAACGTGTCATTCATCGCGCAAAAAATCAGGCGATGATTCCAGCTACCGACGTCATCATTTGGGATGAAGCATCGATGGCGCCCGCTGAAGTACAGGGAACGATGGAACGCGCGCTGCGAGACTCGATGGACGATGACCGAGTCCGTGGGTAAGTAGTTGTACCGAGTGGTGACATTCGCCGAGTGTTGCCAGTTGTCCGCAAAGCATTTCGCGGTTAAATCATTGAGACTTGCGTTAAAATGAGCCTGTTGTGGTCATCGTTCCGAACGATTTGTTTGACAGAAAACATGCGCGCTGCTGCAAGCAAAATTCGATTTATTCGATTTTTGTTCGATGTGGGCAGTGAAACATTTCCATGAATACAGGAGGCGATCCATCTGAGCTCTCCGTGCGTTTACCAGGCGATTGTATTTCCGATTACTGGTGTAGGAGCTGTTTGGGCAACGGCATAGGGTCTGTGATGCCGAAGTGAGAAACATACGCGCTTATTCTGTGTCCCAAGAGTGAGCACTCCAGTAAGGTCAATCAGGACGTGTCGTCCCAATTGGAAGGCGAATTGCGGACACACCACAGTATCGAAATATTGCAAATTGCAAAGAACGATCATGATGGTGATGACGTCGATTGGCAGACCACTTTTCCGTTTGAATTCTTCAACAATCTCGATAGTCTGGGTCTCTTTATGCACCCCCTAAACCTAAAATTGGAGCTATCCTGATTCGTGTATGAAGTCTTCTGATTGGGAACGACCTTAGCAACGACACGCCTGTGATCGTGAGAGACCTGAACGCAAATGTCTTTATATTAGGGGTACAAATGAAAAGGGGACAGTGGCTGTTACTCATAGTCTAAGGGTAGGGGACTAAAAGTCCCTATTTCATTTGAACACCCATAGTAGTTGAGGTGAGCACGGGTGCGCTTCGTGGCTGCATTCATTGCCTGTCTAGGTATGATTGCAAATGTTACGACATATTGCATTATGTTATAAACTTGATGCGACAACTGTCAGGTTGTCCTATATGGCCAAATTTGTTGACGCATGCGTTGGACCCACCATCCAATGTGCACTTCCTCTTCATGCTGACTTTCTCACTAAAGATTCCCTGAAACTCCTTTAAAGAATAAAAAAAATTAAAACGGCTGAACTCATCTCAGCCACAAACATAGACGAGTTCATCGGATACTTTCTATATAGAATGAGCTCCGAAGAGTGAACGATTTCTCTAGACCTTCGCAAAAGAGTGAAGTGCATCCTCCGTTCCATTTCGCGAGTTAATTCTACCGAAAACAGGACCTTACCACTTGCAAAAATGTTATTTAACTCTGGATCAGAATTTTGTCCAACAGAACGTTTCTGATTGAGGTCCTACGAAAGGAACAAATTCTTTTACTCTAAAAGTGTAACTTTTATTATGCAAATCTTGATTGATTTTATTTCGTGATTGAACTCCTCAAGTTTTGGGTTCCTTTCCTTTTTCCTTTTGCGACTGCTGCTCCATCACATTTCCCTTAATGACGAGCCAATGCTAGGTAAATAAACCACACCACAACAAACCAATTCACTTCATTCCATTTTACTCATACTCCCTGATGGGCTGTGCGGAACTTGACAGAAATATATTCCAACCGCAAACATCTTTAACAGAATTCAATTGCAAATGACACCCTTACATTAAATAATAGGTAATTTCCAGTGTAAAAGCTCTCAATGTGATATCAATTGAGATTCATATTCTACATGTTTCCGGTCTTCCAAACACACCTTATTAATTCAGATTTCTGTCTATTTAATTTTGACCATGAAGTTACATTTTCAAGGAGTGATCTCAAACTAATTCAGTTGGAATTAAGTTACGGCTCAAGCTTGGATGAAACTGCCTCTGCTACTTCAAGATTTTGCTTTGGTTTACAAAAAAAAAGCGCATGAACAGCATTACCTGCATAGAAGACACCTCATCCCAACTAAACTCCACATACTGGGTGTCTCAAGCAAAAAAAAATTTACGTTTGATCGATATTTCTAGTAGGATATTAAATTCTAATGAAATTTGTTGTGATAGTTAAAATGCTAAGAGATTAATCTTTCGATTGCTGTAGATTACGCAAAGATCAATGAACTCAGAAGCGAGATATGGAAAGACACAGTTTACACTAGCAAAATATAGACATGCTGGTGAACCACTGCAAGCAGCTTATGTAAGATAATCCAGCAATGCTGGCACTTGAAGCAGCTAGTGATCCACAAATGTACTACCAGAAGACTCTTCACTCTATTGCTTGTTCTTTGAAATTTGCCAGCAAAAATACCGCAGAATTAATTGAATAAAAGAATCTTCTTGATGGTCTATCTCTCAATTTCACCTAGCACACCTTGAGCACGCCTGGAACATGTCCTTTAGTGATGGATTTTAAACTTCTTTGAGTCTAATTTTCATGTTCCATATCTCGCTTCAGAAATAGTCAATTTTCATGTAGTTTTCAGCAAAAGGAAAGCATAATTTATTTCCTTTTTAACGGACACAAAAATATTTCATTCAAGTTCAATATAGTACAATAAAAATCCATTATTGAAGCGTTACTTTTTTTTTTAGACACCCCGTACACAGCGAAATTTTACCCACTAAATTGCAAGGAAAGCATATTCCTGTTCATGTCTTAAGGAACTTAATCGGATCAGATCTAGAAGAGATGTTGCATATGAGATGTCCTGTACACGTGTAGTGCATTCATTAACTGCATTAAGACCAAACGTCATGAAATTGGGCTTTCGTGGATCAACCTCAAAATGTCAAGAACTACATTCATAGTTTGATCATCGACGAGAACAATATCATATTGTTCCTTGAACTGCTCCAGCCTTTGTGGGACCTAAAAAAAAAAATCCACTTCAATCACAGGAAGCTTCCCCAAGGCAAAGCCTTCACAGAGAAAACAGAATTAACCCTTTCTCCGTTCTCATGACGTATACGCTAACGTGAGTCTTGGGGGTTTCCCCATTGCTAGAATGTCGAAAGAAAAAAGAGATCATGGGACAGGAGGCATGTGCAACGAATACGGCCAGTCGGCCGCTTCCAATCCCCCCCCCCCCCTCCCTAGCTAAAAAAAAAACCCACTAAAGTGCAAAAGTCCTTGCTCCTCGCACAAGCCAAATTTCTGGAGAGATTTTTCGAGAGCTTTCTAGAAAGTGAGGAAAGGTCTATATATAGCTGTGAAAACCGCTTCTTATAAACATTCTTGAGTCAAGAGAAAATGCCTCGACAACGAAATTCTACTTCGCCATAAACGAAGCCATCAACTTCTGGAATCACTTCACTTCTGGAACAACAGCAATCGATCTCCTGCCACGATTGCTCGTCTGACGAAGATCAGACCGTTCGGACTGTCGAGTACAATATTGCCAAGATCAAAGAACAAGGCACGGTGGAGAACAGACGCCGTAGTGGTCGTCCCCGCAAGATCACCGCCGCCAACGACAAGGCACTCGGCCAGTGGATTCGAAAAAACTACGAGACAAGCGGCGAAAGAACTGGCGTAAAAGTTGTTTCAGGACCGAGATCGGCACGTGTCCCAATGGACGGTACGACGCCAGCTCAAACGGATGGGCTACAAGAGTACTTTGCCCCATGCGACGTCAATGTTGACACAGAAGCACGAAGATGTGCGCGTCCAGTGAACAATTCAACACAAGAACGACGATTGGAACCGAACAGTATTCACCGATGAGACCTCCTACCAATTATTCAGAAACACGGTTCGTCGATGGTCAAAGAATCCAAGAGGCGTGGTCAAGCGAATCTCGAAGAACAGACAGAAGATTATAGTGGGCGCATTCAGTTGTGAATCTAACTGGGCAAGTCATGACTCGGAGCATGGCCCGCTCTGACATCTGACAGAATCTTCTGAACGCATTGGGTCCTTTAACCAGTATGGCGGCACAGGAGTTCTTTAGTGAAGTCTAACTGCTTTTCTGAGTAGTAGCAACAGCTGAAGTAGTTGAAATTGGAAAATTGGGAAGTCGTGCAGAATGCACTTCAATATCAACTTACTATTCCAGGATATTCATAATGGCAGAGTTCGTACACACCCTTTTGCTTATTACATCATGGTGCCACTCAAGATAGTGATCACCTCAGCCAGCAATAAAAAATGTTCGATACCAAATTGGAATCTTCTCGAAGCAAATTTGAGAAGGCCTATGCACTTCTCCAAAGCAAATTCGGAATATTGCAATTCATATGTGCTAGGTCAAAGAAAGCAACAGCCGTCGCGATATCTATTTGCGTCATCCACAACTTCATTCGCATGTTTCCCTGAATCTGGGAACGTAAACTCGCCGCTGGAAGCCTTCCATGGAAGACGCCATGTTTGGAGTGATGACGCGACGGGAATGACTCGATCTCTGAGATCGGGGTAGAGCATGTACAGTAACTCGGGTCAGGTTCCTGTGTCATCACCCGATGCATTCAGTGCTTCGTGCCATGATTCGCGTTACAGCCCGGGTCACAACTGAATGCACCGAGTGTGGGGCGGCTTCAGTATCATGGGCCGGTTCGGCTGTCATTCGTTCAAGAGAATTATGGATGGCTCTTATTACGTTCAAATCTTTCGAGAACACCTCCGTAGCGCCAGAAGGCAGTTCGGTCGACGCTGGCGACTGCAGCAAGACAACGACCCCAAACACAGAAGTCGAGTGACGAGGCAGTTCCTATTCGAGGAAGTACCCGAAACGATCGACTGGCCGTCAAACAGATCGAGAACCTCTGGTCGATCCTCAAACAACGTGTCGAGAAGCGGAAACCATCAAATCTTGACGAACTGGACAAATTTCTGCACGAAGAACGGGACAGAATCGACTTGGTCACTCTAACTAAATCATTTGGTCAAGTCGATGAAAGCGCGATGGTTGACTTTGATTGAATCGAAGGGAGAGAGGATCAACTATTAATTGTGATACTTTTGTACCTTTTCCCATGTCTTACCTGTGAATAAAATTGGTTTTGATATTCATCCCATCTACCCTGAGAAATACTTGAAATACCGGGGGCAAAGACTTTTGCACCTTAGTGTACAGTAAATACTGTATATACCAGCCTGACATGGGACGCGCACAAGAAAACTGACCTGAGAAAGGGTTAAGGATATCAAGTCATGAAGTACAAGAAAGAATGCTGCAATAAGTGACAGTGAAGAAAGTACTTGCGTTATCATTCAGGAAGCCGATTTTCAACACCACATTGATGTCAATCACACCGGTAGCCATGTGGACGTCTCCAAGAGAATCCCCCAGCAAGATGACATTGTTTTTCCCCTTGAGTTGCTTGAAGTAATCCTCATGTTGCACAGCAGTCTCGTTCTTGTTGAACATGTGGATTAAGTCACCTTTCAACCCTGTCATATGACCCTGTCACCAAATAATCATAGAATTCCTTGTTTCCTTAAGGAAGTTACTACACAGTAACTAGGAGAAAATCTAAACTCAGATTGGCACCAAAGGACATCGTGGAGAAAGAAGGACTTCTATTTTCTCACCTGTTCATCATATGTCATGTAGTTGGAAACAATGTGGATGTTTGTATAGATCTTAGCATGCTGAATCATGACTTCCTCAATCAAGTCCCCTAAGCCAGCAGAGAAGATGAGGAGGGGCACATCGTGTGTAGCCAGAATAAGAAACAATTCAGTTGCTCCATCTCTGAAAGTAAGAAAATTGAACTCCATCCCAATGAAAAACTCTGTTTCCAGAATTTGTATCTTGTAACTCTTACAAGCTCACCTCAAGGCAACTTTAGCATTAGAGACCATTTCCTTCAACTTCTGTCTTGTGATACAAGACTGAGCCAAGAGTTGGTGGGCTTTATGATACCATTCCAACATATATGGGATTTTCTGCTCAGCACTCATCTCGTGACAAATTTCTATAGGGTAGTATTTGTTTTTCAATTCCTCTGCTGCTTCCCTGTAGCTTGCTGGAAGGTGCTTGCTCGAGCTGAGTATCCCTGAAAAAAATAAGTTCCAAGACATATGAAACAATAATACAAAGGGCACTCTAAAAGTTTTGAGAATCATATAATTACAGGGTGGTGCAAAAATTCCCATCATTTTTTCAAAGTTCAAATTTTATTTTAAATAACAACTATTTTCAAAACAATGTGAGAAAAATGAAAATTCATAATCTTTGGAATACGATGAGATCATTTTTGCTCGAAATGACTACCTCCAGCGTCGATGCACAGCTTCAATCTCTTCGGGAAGTTGTCAATGATTTTTCCCAAAGTCTCCAGAGAAATTTCATCCCATGCCTTCTTCAGAGCTCTCTTCAGTGGTTCAATTGATTTCTGGGACTTTGCACAGGCCTTCGACTCCAAGATACCCCAGACTGAGAAGTACAAAGGGTTGAAATCGGGCGAATTGAGCGGCCATTCTTGTGAAGAGATGGAATTCGGGGAAACTGTCTTTGATTCAATCTTGGGTGATTTGAGCTTTGTGTCGGTGCAGAATCCTGTTGGAATGTCCATTCTTCTCCTAAATGTTCTTGAGCCTAAAGAACCAGTTTGCCCTTCAGAATTTGTTCTCGGTAGATCTGTTGATGGATTTTGACTCCCTCCTCAACGAAAACGAGTGGAGTCTTGCCATCGGTTGTAACTACGGCCCAGACCATGACATACTTCGGTTTTTTACTGCGGCCGACAACCCTGCCTTGAAGAGGAGCTCCTGCTGCCCAACTACTGTCGTTTTGGTGATTGTGTGCCTGGTCGATCGTGAAGAGTTTCTCGTCCGAAAACAGAATTAATTTGTGTCGTCCAGCGGCCAAACGTCTTTTCAAATTTTGCATCTCTCCAGTCGGGTAACTTTCATTGTGTCGGTGAGCAGATGGGCTTCTTGCAGGTTGTAGGCCATGAGCTGGCGATCATTTTTGAGTATTCGCTGAACTGATCTTCGGGGAATTTTGACAACCTTGGCGAGTTTCCTTGTCGACCACCCAGGATTCCTTTGGATTCGTTTATTAATCTTTCTTCGGTTGATGGGGTGTTTGAAATCCTCGGACGACCACTGCTAACACGAACATTGTTGTTCCCAGTCTCTTGATAACAACTGACTGCATCGGAGACAGTCATTCGTGGCAAATTGAGCAAGTGGCCGATCTCAGAAATTCGCTTTCCTTCCTCAAACAAGCGGACTATAGCAGGTCGAAATGAATTAACGTCTAAACAATTAAAAGGAATCAAGCAAATTAAAAAGTTTAAAGTGCATTAGAAAGAAGAGAAAAAATGACGGGAACTTTTGCGACACCCAGTATATTTAAGTGAAGAACTTCTTTCTTTTTTTTCCCCACAGATGAAGAATACATTAGATGTATAGGGTGATCTGATCTGGAAAGTCTGGGAACAATGGGAAATATGCAGGGTGTATGGAAAGTCATCACGTATTTTGAACTGTAATACCTTGTAATTTTTGGACTGGAATAATTGTTTTTGGGCGAAAAGAAAGAATTTGATGGGGTTTTATGATATCATTGATTTATTTGTTTGCTGTAACCCTCCATGGTGCAAAAATTGAATCTTCAACACTGTGGGCAAATAGCTGCACTGTATAAAGTGTGGAGGCGGAGAAGATGGGAAATTACATCCAAAGCATTCTCTTTCCTCCACCACCTCTGGACCATGATGGAGAACCTCCACACCTCATACCGTAACCCTTGTCATGGTCCAGAGGAGGTGATGGAAGGAGAATGCTTTGGATGCAATTTCCCGTCTGCTCTGCCTCCACACTTCATACCCTGCAGTTATTTGCGCACGGTGTCGAAGATTCAAATTTGACACCATGGAGTTGCTGCAAACAAACAAATCAATTAAGTCACAAAATCCTACCGGGTTTTCTTTCGTTCGACACAAAAACACCAGTTCTAGTCCAAAAATGACAAGTTATTATTAATACAATGTTAAAATATGCAGAATGTTTCCATATACCCTGAATATATTTGTTTGCTTGCCTCAGGGGATAAATGCCAAATACAAGTATGCCTTTGTGACGTAACAAGCGATCAATACTATTTAATACCTTGTTTTGTCGCAGGTTCGAGTGGTAAGGCAGATCCGAACCAGACAGAAGTTCTGAAAAATGGAACTCTCGTGTACAAAGTACTGAAGTTTGTTACAAATAAAGACAATAATTAATTTTTAAAAGAAACAGTCATACACTGTACTCATTAAAGAAATTCAACAAGAATTCTACCGAAGTCTTCTCAAGGCACTTCAGATGAAACGCAACTTCTTTAATCCTTTCAGTTTCAAGCAACTTCTTAGGATTCTCGTGACTTTGCGCTTCAAATTACGCTACAATGGGCGCAATTATGCATGGCTCCAATTCCATCAGAGGCCTTCATTCACCCATTAGTTTTGTAATCTTCAGTTATTTAATTAAATGTATATTATACAATATATGGTATGATATGGTAAATTTATATAAAATATAAAGACCTCATATAAAGCATGAAAATTTCCATTACAATCACGAAAGAGCTCAAAAATGCAAAAAAGAATATTATTCCGATAGCGGCCTTAATTCAGGTCTGAAAGGGTCTGAAACAGTAATCAACATAAGAAAGAAAATTGGATGGGAGAAGGATCCGACGAGGCAAACTTCTGACCTTGAATTCTTCATCTTACTGTTTTATCTCACTTTCTCTCGCTCAGGCCACACTTCCTCACAAAACCAAGGGAACAGGGTTAACCTGACAGATTGTTGGTTGTCCTGGAGTCAGCGCCAGATCTGGTAAGGTCACAGTGGTGCCTTCCAAATAACGACTGACGCCGGCATCAAGTTCCCTGCCGATATCTTTGGTACCTCTGAGAGGAGCCAGAGTATCTTCCTCGAAATCCGGGATCCGGATTGGATACGGAACCGGGAAAACTTATATCCCATTGACTAATTTAAAGGTCAGCCTGGCTTAATCTATTTGAAGTCGTCAAGACCTTGTGGCCTCCCTAATGTATTTTTACGAGTTTGGCTTCCTGTGTTTACCTCAGTCGGTTCCAGGGTTGTCCCATCCTTACAATGACAAGATATTAACTTAATCACTTAAAAATTAATACTTGACTAAATCTTGTATTTTTCCTCGACTTCTTTTAAAATGGTCATTAATTATGTCGTTAAAGTCAAAGCAATTTCCATCAACATTTAATATCATGATTAACAAGGTACCAAAAGAAAGGTATTTTCAAAAGGATTATGAAATAATTAACATGGTTTCCATTAACATGGTAAAACATCATGATGAAAGGAAGAGAAAGGTGTAGGAAGTGTTAGAACAGAATGGGACAAGATTCCCGTAACTCTTCTTCACACTTCATGAGGAATACACAATATTAAATCCTCCTTCCTCCTCTCTGATTACCGTAAGAGCACGTCAGTCATGTGCGTCTAGGGAAATGAAGAGGGAAAGTTCTCGTGTGGAGGACAAAGAGGCGAAAAGGAAGGACGATCCCGTTCTTCACACCCTTGACAAAAGATGAAACAATTTTGAGTGATTTTGTTGTACGAACGGAGTGCGAACGTGTGCAAAGCACACATGGAACATTTATAAGTGTTTAGTTTTAGTGTTTCAAGTATTTCCCATTGTTTCCAGACTTTATAATCACCCTGTACTCTGGTGAATTTTCAATGAATGTTTATGTTTTCGTAGAATACGGGCACCTCGACCAAGGGGAAAAGCTGCACATGCGTAGAGAGTTGTGCTGTCCGGTCACTATTGTTACTGGGGACAGAAAGACTGAAAAAAAAACTTGACAAACTGATCGCAAGATCTGTCATTTTCCCATAGTACCTATGGGAATGGCAGATAAAAATTAGGCTGTCCTGATGCATCCACCGATGAATGGATGTCATTTTCGATAGTTAGAGGCATGATAGGCTTCATTACTCGTTGCGAAGGTCATACCTTCCTCCCTATCACAGGCGTGAGATTACGGAAGACGGAATAGAGGTCCGCGCTGATCGAGGCAAGTAAGTTGAAACGACGAAGTCAAACCTCCGCCCGATTGCGGCGAGAAAAGATAGAAACGTCCAGCCCCCCACCCCCACCTTACCCTTGGGTGCATCGATACACTATCGATAGTTCAGGTCAATGCATCGATGTTTTAAAAACTGCCATCGTGACAGCCCTAGTAATAAAATATTATAAAAAAGGACTAATTACTTCGTTTAAAAAAATGATAATCTATTTCCCTCATCCCTTCCGGGATTAGAGATTATGAAAATTTTTATAGAAAGCTAAATTCTCGAATTTGGTGAAATTTCATGCTTGACTCTTCGGACCACTTGGCGTGGAGAGACCCGTACAGTTCGGGTCTTCTTGGAAGTCACCGATCACAGCTTCGCAATGCTGGTATCTCTTCCGCTGATTGACACTTCCGGTTTCGAAGAATAAGAAATGCCATTCTTTGATTGCTTTGTCGCTTGGTGGTTGTTTATAGACTTCTCGCTGCAATCGACGCTGAACTTGAACCCACACTGTTGAACCGCTCGAACCAGCCCAAAGGTTTTTGCATTTTTTTATAAGTCGTGAAGCAAGACATCACAAGCAGAAAAACGTATTAGACAAGAACGCTTGATTATTGAGGATTTTGCATAATCTGGTCTCAACTTTTCAGTCTTAGAAGATAGCACCTCTTATGAACAGAGATTCAGAGAAAAGCATCAAAATCGCTCGACTTAGCCCTTTCAGCTGTATCCCAAGAACCTCTGAACCGAATCTAGTGAAACTTAGCAAGCAAAAGAACTTGAATATACACTTAATATATATTAAATTTCAGCATTTCCTGATAATTGCAAGAAATTTTATGGAATTTTATGAGTCCCGGAGTTTTAATAGGGAAACTCTATTAGAAAAAGTTTATGAGTTGCATGAGCTGAGTCAAGTATATGTGAACTCCAAGGTAATTAAATAGTTTTCGACGCCACAATAGTGAATGCACAAGAGATAAGCATGCTTTCCCTG